GCAATACATGTACATGCGCACACAGGTAGTACGTACACACGCACAGATACATACACACAGACACAGGCACGACCACACCCATCAGCTCGCACTGACCCCTCACCCCCGTACACACACAGACACACACACACACACACACACACACACACACACACACACACACAGACACACACATGTGCACAGACACATACGTACACATGCAGGCATACTCGATATACACTTAGCTCCCCACCCCCCACCCCTTCCCCAAACACACACATAAGCACATACACAGACACAAACACACATACGCACACACAAATGCGTTTTTCTTTCCTTTTTTTCTTTTTCTTTTTTTTGGAAGTGTTTTATGGCGCTCGCAAATGTATACGGCCATATGAGCGCGCGGGACACATTAACATTTTCAGTTGGTAGGAAATTTTGAATTTAATCACGGGTAGGCCTAGAGGTTAACTTTTTCAGTTGATGGGAAATTTTGAATTTTGCACCGCCCGGGTGGCGGCCGAGCCTGCAGAGTTTGGGTTTCCAAGGGATCTTTAACGTGCGCAACTTGCATACGGGACGGTCGAGATTTTTCACCTTTGTCCGAGAAGGCTAGCCTGGGTGCAGATCTTCATAAGATCAGGGGTGTGGCTGAAAGACAGCAGTAAGAAGGAGCCAAGGAGTAGCAGTAGAAAGAGTCAGAATCCCAGAGGAGGAGGCCAAGGAGGTGAGCGGGTGGGGGAGAAAGTGGAGACGAAAGCAGAAGACAAAACATTGTTTGAGAGCAGGAAATGAGGTGAAAGGAGAACATTTTAGAGTAGAAAATTCACCGTCGCTATTCGGATTCGAACCCACGACCTAAAGAAAGAGAGGCGAACACTAACCTCTAGACTTCGAGAGCCCCCATAGATGCATACAAGGATATTCACCTATGCACACCAAACATGTACACTTACACACGTGCGCGCGCGCACACACACACACACACACACACACACACACACACACACACACACACACACACTCCCACATGTATGCATACTAGGATATTCACTTTAGAACTCACCCACAAACACACTCAAATACACACACACGAACACACACATACGCACATATACATACACACATACGCACACATACATGCATACTAGGATACACACACACACACACACATACACACACACGCGCGCGCGCGCGCGCGCACCCAGACACACATAAACACACAATTACACAGAAAGGAAAACGTATTGGCCAGGATAATTCTTTCTCTTTTTTTTCTACATTTTATAATTATAATAATAATAAATAGCATTTATACTGCGCATTTCCATTTCCTAAAAGATGGTCAATGC